TCATCAGGCCGGCTGCTTCCATCTCAAAGCAGATGCAGTCCACGCCGACGTCGGCAACAATCCAATCACGCGTGGCGGCGTCTTTGACAAGCGAGTTGCCGGATGCGATAGTCCCGTAGTGGATCTCGGGGTCGGTGGTGTCTCGAGCATCGCGTTTAACCTCGTCAGCCGTGTTACAGCCCCGACAGTCCGGCCCGGGGACGTGGTCGCATGAAGGTTGGAAGAGCCGGTCGTTGTCGGTGCCCTGGTGAATATAGCCAGGACTTTGCTTGGATCTTCTATTCATTTTCGGGTTCTTCTTTAGCATCTGTTGAAGGAAGTTGGGAACCTTGGAGTCCGTCGACTCGTGATCGGCCTGGATGCTGGCAAGCGCATTAAGGAGGACGGTCGGAGGTGGTCTGAGAAAGCCTTTGCGCTCACGCCTGTCACCAGACTTGGCCTTGATCAAGTCGTACTGGCAGACGCCGCCTGTGGTCCCGTCGGGCTGGCTCACGACAACGTCGCCGAGCCGTATATCGTAATCTTCGTCCGGTCGGGCGATGCCGCCGCCTATGCCGACCAAAAGACCAACACGGATGGATGGCAGAGAGGCGAGCAGGTCTCGAGGCCGTGGTCGCAGCCGAGGTAGTTCCATAGACTCCGGCGGCAAGAGAGGCGATGACGATGTTGTGCTCACCCACCCGACCCCATGTATAAACGTTTGCATCGGTTTGGTGTCTAACGAAGCCAGTTGGAGGCGCATGTTCCTCGTCGAGCATCGCTTTTGCAGCGGCCCGCTCGATGGGAAGAGCAGCGATCCAAGCGACCCCATAGTAGTCGGGACTGTCGAGAGCATTGTGGGATATCATGGTGCCGATGAAAGCGGATGAGACCGTCAGATTGACGAGCAGAATGTTAGGATTATACGGTTGGCCTACATTGACGAAAGCTGGAATTGAGTCACCCGAGGAGAGAGAGGCGACGTGACAACAACATATTGTTTTATCACACTGGGGAGCGCAGCCTTGTAATTACAACAGTTGGATCAGGCCGGGCGGGATCAGGCCGCAACAACAAGCTCTCACCAATTACACACACCAATTACACACACCCACATTGGGGGCCCTGATACTGTGGGCGCTCTCGCCCGCCGGATGGCATGATTGGGAGTGATCAATGCCAAGAAACTGCCTTTTGCGGCAGCCATCTGTTGGAATAACGGGTGTCCGGCTACCTCAGGAACTAAAAAACGTTAACTACCTTATTTACGCTAGCGCAAGATATCTGTTTCTTGTTCGGGACTAATCTTGTTCAGTACGTTAACTGAGTTGTTAGCTCTTTTTGCAGATTTCAGTTGCTTTGTATCAGTTGGCTCTGTGGGAGTTGCGAGTAGAAACCCATTCTCGTCAGCAAACCATGCTCGAAATCGCCGAACTACCAGCCAGCCCTGGAGCACCGCTGTGCTGTATTACTAACCGACAAAAGAACTGCTCTTGCTTGCTTCCCAACATTTATGAGCCATCCTAAACCAATCGCACGACGGCATTGTGATGCGGCCGTGGGCTAATTGCGCCGGCGCGTTCCTCCAGGCTTCATTTGGCGGGCCGCGAAGCGGCACGGTCCCTCTTTTCTGATATATTTGGGAGCGTTTTCCCACTCACAGCTCTTCTTCCCTTTAGCCGCGGGGTTCATCCCACGCCATTGTCTAATAGATAGATAGCCTTCTGCTCGGCTCCTGATACAAATTACTTGCACACAAGCGCAATTTGCGTAACAGGGACCTCGCTGCGATTAACAACAACTAGAACACGGTCTTGGCCAACATGCTGTCCTTTTCCACTCTGACATTGGCTATGCTACTTCTGACCCTCAGCAACGGGACAAGGGCACAAGGAGACGAGGATGACCCAACACCAGCGACTCCTCACTGGATCACACCCGCCGTCACTCTCCCGAGCCCGTACGGCCATCCATCTCTCTATGTCACCCAAAACGGTGCGGGGGAGTGCCTGGCGTCGCTCCAGGTCTATTACACCAGGACATGCCGGGTTCAGACCACAGTCTGGGACGGCACAACCACGAGCCGGGTGAGCGTCGACTGCCAGGGCTGTACCCGGCTCGCGTCGAGCATCCTGGTCGGCCACTGCCCGCTTGGAGTGCATTATACGCCTTACCCGGACACGACTATGTCAAGGCCGTGGACGTCGTTCTCGTTTGTTTGCGCGCCCACGCCAACTCCGGCCGGTGCTGGCGCGGTGTAGTTGATGGGGACAGGGAGGCAGAGCTCGGGTCTGGCGCTGGCGAGGAGAAGGCGAGTTGATGAGATAGAGGCCGGGATGATGCTCAGAGTGTTCGGGGGTGGACCGTGGATTTGAGAGAAATTCGGGCTGTCAAGGGACCTGGAATCTCGGGCGAAGGAGGGGCATTGACCTGGATCTTGTTTGGTTGGACAGAAGACTTCTCGATTATGTAGCCTGTGAGAAATCAGAAACCTCATGAAGCCATATTTCCCGAGGCCGGCAATATGGGCATCACCGGTCGTTGCTGTTCTCGCCTTAGCTGGCCACTTAGTCCGACATGGGAAACAAACGTTAAAATGACAATCAAGCGGCGTACTCAAATAGAAATCCAAACTGCGACCGGCCTAATACTTGGTCGTACCGGATGCCTCCTTGCCAAAAGCATCGTACCTGTTGCCCAGCAGCGACGCCCTCTTGCTGAGGTCTCCCTTGTGAACCTTCGCAAGGTACCCCCCAAATTCTCTCGACATATGCACCGATGCCTTGATATGGTCCGACTGAATCACCACGCGACCCTCCTTGTCCTTCTGGTTCTTGGCCTCGGCCAGGGCCACAGCAACCTGGAACGCTAAACGCACGTGTCAGTCAGGATTGATCGCAAGGATGTGAGGTAGGCTCACCGTTTCTGATTTCTCTACCGTTCCACCTTAAGGCCCGTAGCTCCTGCGACTGCACGTAATCCTTGGCTGTCTGCGTAATCCGCATCGTCGCCTCTCTGTCCTCCTCGAGCTTGTGAAAGAAGGTATCCCAAAGGCGATCCCGGTCTTCATCCTCAAACTCGGGGTAGTGGATCTGGACATGGATACGAGACATAAATGCTTCGTCAAAGGTGCCGACCCCGGTTTGTGGCAAGGAAGAGGATGCCCTTGTAGTACTCCAAGGCACGGAGAAAGCCAGCCACGAGGTGGTTCCGCTCTATGTCTTGTACCTGTCTCTGCTCCATATAGATGTCGGCTTCATCGATGAGCATGATGGCGCCCCAGTTCTCTGCGGCCTTGAACCACATGAGCAGGTTGGCTTCAATAGTCTCGGGCTTGACCCCAATGTCTGAGCACGTCAATGAGAGTAGGGGACGTTCAGTGAAGTCGGCAATGCATTCTACGCGAGTCAGTGATGCCCGGTGGCGTTTGGGAGGATTTGCCGTACCTACAGTGTAGGTCTTACCCACGCCGGGGCGTCCGTGAAGCAAGATTGTCAGACCCTCGCCTTTTCCGACGATGAAATTTGCAGACCATGTTGCGTCGGCTTTCTTTTCTTGTAGGGGTTTATGGACTTGAGTGACCTTCCTGAATCCCTTTTTTTTCTGCGCGGCTCCCTCGCTCCTATGTCTGATGTATATCTAAGGTTTTTGATGAACTCCTTTGTGGTGTTCTTGAGGACAAGCCGCTCAAAGAGTCCGCTGTCAAAGGTTGGTTCCCGAAACCCGTCGACGTGTAAGAACTCTGCGAGATGAAGCTGGTTAGCACCCGGCCCCTCGGTATCGCGGCATCACGTCTTCGGAACGGCCAAACCTACGCTACGTTCCAACCCCGAACAGAAACGCCTCAACCATGGAATCGCACAGAAAATACTGCTGATCTGTCTGACCATCTACGGTGAGGGGATTGACCTTGGTATAATCCGAGAACTTGGGCACCACTGCGTGCCGGTAGATTGTCTCCGCAGTCTGCGCAAGTGCAGATCCGCAGTGGACCTGAGGGTTGCTTCAGGCCTGGACTGAGTACCCTCCGCTCCGCGCCTTGCGCTATAGTGAACTGGATCGGATCCAGCATAGCTAGACTGTTGTACTGTGGAACTGGCTGTCAGCGACGATGTCTTGGTCTCCAGTCAGTGACAGATTGCCAGCGATGCTTACATCGCGCCTTGGGAAAATGATTGTGAAGCCGTCAAAGTGACTGCACCGGACCCCCCGTCGCAGGTTGTACCACTTCTTTCCTCGATTTACGAAGTACTGTTTGACGGCTGCGACCTCTTCCTCATCGATGTCATCAGCAAACCGCAAGTACTCGCACGGGAATGCTCTAAGCTCCGGGGTCCGCTTCTCTCCGGCAAAACGGCTGTATCTCCATCTCAACTTCCAGGGGACCAACCCAGGTAGAGTCGGCATCGATATTCCACAAGCAGAGTTCGTAGGAGTCTGTGGCGCCCTTGACAAGTTTGAATTGTACGGTCGAGACAACATAGGGCTCGTGCTCGCCGTAATCGTGAAGGTCGTAGTAGACGTCCGCCCGTGGCTTGTAGTCTACAGAAGCCACAGCATGTCGAACGTGGCGTAGCCCCTAGCATGGCGGGCTCTCTCGGCATCCACCGCTTTTTGGGTCGCCTCTCTAACAAAGTCCTGGACGATGGCGATGTGTTTGGCTGCCCATCGATTAGGGCAGGTGGATGACTCGACTTGGGCAAGCTTTGCCACCCGTTCCCGGTATTCCGTCAGCTCCTTTTCGAAAAATACGAATACCGAGTAAGGTTCGGGGATCTTGATAATGTTCTCGGAAAAGTCAAGATCTGGGAAATAGTCGACGACACAACGCAAAGCCTCGGCGACGGAAGGTGAGAGGATGTTGATGTATGCATGTCCTTTGCCATTGTCGGTCTTGGAGATGTCTTCTTGTTTTGTTCTCGTGTCTACCGTGTCCTTGCTGGGCAGCCGGACGTCGACGTACTCGAAAACCGGGTGCTCCTTCGACGTATCAAGCGGCGCGCGTCTGCCGTCAACGAACACGGAACCAGACTCCCGGCCGGCGTACTCTATTTTGTAGCGCACCAACTCCGGCTCGGTCAGCGTGGCAAGCTTCGAGGTGATGGAGGGTTCAGGCGAGCCATGTGCGAGTTCCGTAGACGTTGTCTCGATATGATGATGCTTTCCAGGGAGTGTCTGGGCTTCTGCGCAAACGCCGAGCTGATTCGAAATGTCGTTCGCTGCCAGATGGAAAAGACCAAAGAGGAAGTGAAGGAATGCATACTCGGATTCATGGACGCTTATCACGAAACCATACGAAAAGGGATTTCTGGCGGCGGAATTTGCAACCTTCTGGAACAGCAAGCTTCCGCAAGTGTTGAGAGAGCAGCCCAGCTATCGCCTGAGCTTGTCAATGATGGTAGGACCGGCCTCAACATCGCTATGGTGTCCTTGCAAAATACTTATGAATATTCAAGACTAACCGAGTGTAAAGGTTCTAAGCCGGAAGGTCCAGCAAGGCAGGGTAAAGGCCTTGCCCTCGATGACCGTACGGAACCGGATCCAGCATCAGACATCGACATCAGCTTTGAGTCCCGTCATCTCGAGGACTACTTCACCTGGGAGCATGTCCATCCCCACCTGGACACGTTAACAAGTGCTTTGCTTGCGGATGCCTCGTTCGTGGATGGACTAGAAGCCTTCACGGCCGCAACGGACTCACGACTTGTTTATGCTCATGGCCAGTATTATTTCCAAGGCGCAGATCCCCTTCGGCAGTGGACGTCGAGATACATGTCGCTTGCCCAAGCAGCCGGGGTCCCCGTAGTTTCGTACTTCTGCGAACTGTCTGCCGATGAAGCCGCCCTGGCGAACAAGGGACGGCGCGAGTCCGATGGAAGCTCTCGGCTTCTTGATTTGCCGCCCTGATTCGGGCAGGCTCGTCAAACCTTCTTGCCCGTCGGGTGATCCCTAAAGACCACTGCTGCTTTTCGACGCCGCGAGAGTTCCCTTGCACTTGACGGGAACGCTACGCACCTGGAAAGAAGCCCCTCGGTGTTTTTGAGAATTTTGGTGGAGGCTGTGCGTCTGCCACTGATGCTATTCGTCATCCACGGCCTCAATGTTGTAGAAGATGAGTTCGAGCACTCCACTGCCGAAGCAATTGGTGGACCTTGTTAAGTGCTTTGCACGCATATCAGGTCCCGCTTCCACACATGAAGGCAGAATTTGCAAAGTTCTCTTCACGACATCAGGTTTATCCGAGACGCTTTCTTACCTGCTGGATGAGCGTTACACCATTTCAGGCGGCTCTACGTCCCCCAGGGGCCCCAGCGGGCCAAGACAATCAAAGCGGGCTCGCAAAGTTGTCTTGTATTGACAACGGCACGGTCACCGCCCAGCCTTTGTGTTTTCGGCCCAGACGAAGTTGGTGAGGTTCTTGATGTTCAGGCCAGGGCATGTGGGTACATGCCTGGGTACCTAGGCAAGCACCTTCCTGGCTGTACTGTACCTTATCCAAGGTGGTCTGTCCCCCGTGTATGGGCAATGCAGCAGCCCTGGAAGGCACCAACAGCCAAGTACTTCCCCCAAAGCTTTTCCCGTTCTCACCTCAACCATCATTATCACCATTGCTTCTCTTTGCCCCACACGCCATTCTTCCCGGGGCGCGGCTCTTTGTTTCTATAACACTGTCTCATTTTTGCATAGCTACATTGAAATTGGGGTTGAATTACTTGCATCGCCCTGGTAGTTAAGTTGGGATGTTTCCCTTGGCCAACTTCCAAGAAACATGCCGCCGTCGGGAATTGATAGCAGTGATACTGCCGCCAGCCCCCCGATTCAGGAATTGAGTATCCAGGATTCCGCTTTGGGGAATACCGTGGTCGAACAGCAAAAAAAACAGCACCTCCCCTACGATCCTCCTTTCTCATTGTTTGAGAACCTGCCTGCTGAACTGAGGGACAACATCCTCCTGCACATCCCCGGACTTACCGACACTGCGGTCGCTCGTCCGGGCCTCGCCGACAATGCACGCCCAGTACAGAAGCAACCGCGACACACTCCTCCGGGCGTGCCTGACCCGTGAGCTGGACGGCTGTTTTGTCGACGCCTACGCTTGTCTGAAATCCCGCGTGCGCGTGATGCGCCCTGTCCGCACCGACGAGAAGATCACCGACTTCCTCACCGGCTACCGCACGTGGATAGAGGGGCCCTCTCCACCTCCGAACCTGAGTTTTCTTGACCCTAGCTCTTGTCGGTGGGTGGCCGCCTTCCAGGTATCTGTGATCGGGCCACTCTGTCGCCGGTATGCCGAGTGGGCCCTTGCGAACCTGGCGCGCACAAGAGGAACATCTCTAGATAGCCACGGAGCCGCAAAAAAGGGAGCTGAATCTGAAGCAGCGCCAGCCCCACAGCCCACCTTGAGCAGGAGCGAGGAAATACGAATTTTCCGTGCTCTCTACCGATACGAGACCTTCTGCCACCTGTTCGGACGAAATAGGTGCGACCGCTATGGTGGATTCCGGGAAGAACAAATCAATGAAAGTGTTCTTATGCCTGTTCGATCCATGGGAAAGCCGAAGCTATCGACTGTATCAGTCTCTTCATGCGCGACAAGTATAAAGATATTTTCCTCGAAGTCAAATGGGACCTCAGCGACAAAAGTCCTAAATACTGGCAGGGGGATGGAGTGCTTAACCCTTTGAACTCCTTTGATATCGATGGTTTATGGGACGGTAAGTGAAGCGTCTTTGTATTGTTCCGCAAGAAGGGGGTATAAGCAGGTATTCTGACACGGACGATGGCAGATTACATGGATGGTACCACCTCTCGCGGCCTCGAGGTGCTAGCCAGGCTTTTGGCAGTCAAGGACCACGAAACTCTCGTCGACAAAGTTGGGGTTGCATCACGGGCCACCATAATGTTGACGCCCCTCTGAGGAAGGTTTTTTGGAATGTGACACAAAACGGTCGACGTGACGACTCGACGGCGGTCAATGCCCGGGACGACGCCCAACAAAGGAGGGACCCGATGGAATTTGGAGGTGATATCCTGCCTCCGGATGGGCCCCCTTTGGCGTGGGTGCTCTTATGGGGCGGAATCTACGCCAACCTATACGGGGAATACACACCCAGCTGGCTCAAGGATTGGGGCTACGTCATGTGGGACGAGCGTCGGTTGGTAGAGTTGGGGGTGACGGACCTTGTGTCGAGACAGTGGGAGACAGAGCCAGAAGCGATCAGCCTTATTGAAGAGTACTACGCGTGGCGCCCCGCGGGGTATTAGTACGGACACATACATACACATATCCATCAATGACACCCGCAGTCCCTTCAGCTAAACCGCCCGTCCGGAAAGAAACTCTCCCACGCAAACTCCTCCCCAAACCCATCAAAATCAAACCCCTGCATCCCCTCCATCCCCAGCCCTCCAAATCCCCCCTCATCCCCCGGCGACTCCTCCACCACCAACCCCCCCTTCCCCCCGATCTCAGGGCGGCCACTACTAGTTACTTCAGCCACTTCCCCCAAGCGAGAGCTCACTTGCTTGTGTGTATGTGATATCTGTCCCGCCCCCGAGAACCAAAGTTATCCCGCGCCCTGCGGCAGAGGCCTGTGCAACACCCACGGCACGCGCCCCTCCTCCTCCCGTAACTCCTACACCGTGGTGTAATCAATGCTACTACTGATGAGTGCATTTCTAGGTAGGACATGCGGCCCCTGCTCTTTCTAAGAGATTACAAATGCTTATCCAGCGCCTCCCCCACACCGCCCCACC